TCTTCAGTCTAGTTGCTCTGTACCTGATCTCTGTTTTCTTTCTTCTTCTTTCTTACCCTCACAGTTTGTCTCTTAGGGGATGATGTACACCTTGATTTCTTCTCTTTGTGTTCAACTCCCCAACCTCAGCTTCTTCCAGTTCATTTCAGTGTAACTTTTCTTCTTTTGGACAGGAGCTTCTGGCGAAAGCTGCCTCTAGTCGGCTATCTTGCTCCTCTCTGATTTGCAAAATTTTTTTCCTATTCCATAGTATGTCTTTTTATTCTGTTAAGTGTCTTTTGCTGAGGAAAACTTTTAAATTTTTATTTAAATCTAATTTATCAATTTTTTCATTTATAGATTATGCTTGTGATACTATGTATAGTAACACTTAGGCCTGGGGTGATGGTTTAGGCATGTAATCCCAACAATTGCTTGAAGTTACAGTTCAAGAGCAACCAGGGCAACATAGTAAGACCTTGTCTCTACAAAAAAAAAAAGAAAAATTAGCTGGGCATGGTGGCCCATGCTTATAGTTCCAGCTACTTAGGAGAGTGATGCAAGGGAATTGCCTGAGCCCAGGAATTTGAGGCTGCAGTGAGCTTTGGTCATGCCACTTACACTCTAGCCTGTACTACAGACTGAGACCCTGTCTCTTAAACAAACAACAACAAACCCCCAAACCTCTTTACCTATGCCTAAAGATTTTCTTCTATGTTTTCATTTAAAAGCTTCACAGTTTTAGGTTTTATGCTTAGGTTTATGATCCATTTTGGGTTATTTTTTGTATATGAGATATGTTTAGGCTGAGGGATAATTTTTGCTCATGGCCTATGGTGTTCTAATATCATTTATCGAAAGACTGTCTTTCCTCCATTGAATTGCTTTTGCACTTTTGCCAAAAATTGTTTGATTATATTTGTATGCGTTTGTTTCTGAATGTTAATTCTGGTATCTCTGTATTTCTCTCTTCTCTAATACCATAGAGTCTTGAATACTGTAGCTAGATAGTAAGGAGTTCCTTTGCCTTTTTATATAAACTTTTAGAATCGAGTTTTCTATATCCTTGAACTTTGACTGACATCATGTTAAATCCATAGATCAGTTTGGGGGAGAATTGACATTCATATAGCGTTGAATCTTTCAGTTACTGACTGTGTATCTTTATTTATTTATTTAGGTTGTCTTTGTTTCATCAGTATTCTGTAGTTTTTAGCATCACGTACATGTTTTACTTTTTATTTATACTTAGGTATTTAAAATTTTTATTATAAATGATGCTACTTTTAAAATTTTGTTTTCCATTTGAAAGTTAGATGTGAGATATGTGCGTGTGCTCTCTTGTGCTCACCTTGTATGCTGTGACCTTGCTAAACTAATTTATTAGTGGTTTGAGTTTATTTCTTTAAATTTTTTGAATTGATACAAGCAAAAATATGGATACACACAGATCTTCCAGCTTCAAATGCAATGTCTTTCTCCTAAACAAAGTTTCTACACTACAATTTCTGAAACATTGAGTAATATTAAATCTGTGTCTGAAAATAACTGCTTATTACTTTCCTCCTTAGTAACTTGAGTAAAGTTATTCTTATACTAACAGTTTTAATGATGGATTTGTAGGACTGTGTGATAAACTTTTATTAGCTAGAAATTAATGACAAGATGATATATACATGCATACTCAAGTGTGTAAATAAATGAACAGAATAAGTAAATAAACAGAAGAAAATGGAAAATGTTATGAGGGAATTTCTCAGTTTTAGGGAGAATTTTGTTGTTATTACTGTTTTCTTCTTTATCAACATCTCATCTGTCCTTTCTGACTATCTATATTTTAGCTTTTTCTTTTTCCTACAGTCTACTTACTTAAATTAGTCTTTTTTCTTCATTTAGTTATTTCAAGTACCATTGGAAGAGGAAGGACAACGTGGTGGACCTATACTTGCATCAGAAGAGATTAAAACCATTTTTGGCAGCATCCCAGATATCTTTGACGTACACACTAAAATAAAGGTAAATTTGTATGTAATACTTTGGTAGTAAGTTTTTTTGGATTGTGTATATTTATTATGATCTTTCAAGTACTTCTAATTAGCTAAATAAGTTTTATATCTAAAACTTCTTACTCATTTAATTACTTTGACTCAGTGTTCCCTTTGTTGTAGTATCTTATAATGCCTGTTTACTTATCTTTTGATTTTGACCATGAACCATAGTTCCCTAATCTGTGGTCTATAAACTTCCTTATAGTCATTTTAAAATATTACATATTTGAAAAATTTAGAAGACATTTAAAAGCTTTATAAGATACAGGAGGCTAAGGAGGGAGGGTTGCTTGAGTCCAGAAGTTTAAGGTTGCACTGAGCCATGATGATACTATTGCACCCTAGCCTAGTGACCCTGTCTCAAAAAAGAAAACAAAAAGCCAAAAAAAAAGATAGTAAGCTATTGCATCATATCGGGAAATTTGGCTTTAGTCTTACTGATTAGACAGTATTTATATTTTCCTTCTTATTTCTCAAAGGATATTTTCTTTGCGTTCAAAAAGTTAATTTCTTGTTGAACAGAAAGAATGGGATATGAATTATTTTGTACATCAAATTAAGACACTTTTTAAAAGTGCTTCTTGCCAATGAATATCTTGAAAATATTAAAAGATTTGTCAAGTTTAATCTTAAATGTTTAAATATGTGCTATTTCAGGATGATCTTGAAGACCTTATGGTGAATTGGGATGAAAGCAAAAGCATTGGTGACATTTTTCTTAAATATGTAAGTGTTGTATTTCTTTTCTGAGTTTCCGCATTAAAGTATCATCTGATCAAGGACTGCCAGAAACTGAAATTTACCTGTTTAAATGTGAGAGATTTTAAAAGTTTGACATGGTCGTGTTTATAAAATATACTGTAAATGTTCTTGTCCACTAAAACGTACTTTCTATGTACAACTTAACACTTTTTTAATAGCTCAAGATCATCATTTTAAGAATACTGATTACTGCATTGTGCTATCAATTGTTTTGCTGTATATAAAATTATTTGCCCTTCATAAATGGCCATAGATTCATGATTTTTTGACATTTTCTACAATTAAGATTTTTTTCTTCTTTATTGACACTACTTTTTGGTGTCATTATGTCTGTTTCTGTTTAAAATATTGACTGCCACACTAGAAAAAAATTTTTTTCCTAGGAGCTATTAAGTTTTATTATGAAAATAAAAGGTCAAGAGACCCATGAATTATATATGCTTCATGAGGTCTTAGAATCAAAACTAGCATAAGTTTATTTAGTACAGCTTACGTGGCATTTAATGTGTTAAAGACTTCTAATGAAATGCTTTTTATTTTTTTATTGTTTGGGCTTCTTTGAATGAACTGCTTCTTTACTAAGATGAGAACCACACAACTTAAGTTTCATAAAATAAATTCATTTCAGTGAATTACTGTGAATAGGACTTATAAATTAATCTTTGTAACAGATTCGTAAGTTTCAGTTCCTCACATTATACTTAATATTTTTGTTTCCTGAGTCCTATCCCCAACCTGTTTCTTTATCAAGTAGTCTCTTAGGTAGTTTTTCTGGTTGGTTGAGAATTCCAAATATGTAGATCTTTACCATAATATCATTTTTTATACCTATTCAGTTTTTTACACATTCTCCATTTGCCAAGATATTTTTCCTTTTCTTGCTTGCATTTGGACAGTAAGATTGATCTTTTATTGGACTTTATTGATCTTTGATTTGGACTCGTAGATTCTGTATGAATCAGGCCTAATTGAATTGCTATTTTATGATCTTACAGAAATTTTTGTCATGTTTGTATTAATACAGTAGGCTTTAATAAAGTTTTCTTTCTTTCTAGGTCTTTATTTACTTTTCAGTTTATGCTTTGTCTACCAACTGATGTATTTTCTTTAGCAATTTTTACTAAGAACTTTGTAAGATGAAATTTGGCATATAATTTCAGAAAAAAATTATTTTAAACTTCTTTTCTTTGCACCAAATATATCAGATTGTATCATTTAACTTTAAGTTTTCTTGTTTCTAATGGTGACAAGCATAACAAATTAATCAATTTTTTCCCCCCTTTCTTCTTTTTAGTCAAAAGATTTGGTAAAAACCTACCCGCCCTTTGTAAACTTCTTTGAAATGAGCAAGGAAACAATTATTAAATGTGAAAAACAGAAACCAAGATTTCATGCATTTCTCAAGGTAATAAACAATTCTTTTAAACAAAAAACTGATAATCATTTCCGAAGGAATTCATTAAAATTACAAAAAAGTAGGTTATAACTTTAGTCAAAATGTATCCATGTAACAATACCTTAAATGTTCATGTATTAATTTTAGTTGTACCTGTGAGTGACAATGGCTTTTACCTTTAGAATATTTGATGTATTAGGTGGCAAGAGCCAAAAGGCAGCTGAATGAATGAGAATGTTGCATGCAGTTATTTTTAAAAAGGGAAAAAAAGTTATACATATTTTAGCCCTCAAAACACAGATTTTCCAGTGAGATTTTGTTGTGTCGTTAGTGATTTTTTTTTTCTTTTACAGGTGCCTTACATTGTTTATCCAGTGGTATCAATGTAATTAATATTTTAGAACTTTTTTCTTATGAACAATGTAGACAGAAGAGAAAGTGAAGATGAGCTAGCTATATGGGATATGGAGAGGAACTCAGTTCTGTTAAGGCATTAACTCTGGCTGGCCATGAGGTCATTTTTGGCCCCAGAAGATAATCTAATCCCAGTTATTTGCCAGAGAGCGCCAGCATCCCGCCATTTTTTCTTTTTTCTTTTTAAAATTAATTAATTAATTTTTGCCTGACTATTTTTATTTTTATTTATTTTTTAGTAAGTCATAACTTTGTACATTGATGCATTTATGGGCTTTAATATACAATGTGAAATGCTTACATTGAACTAAGTAACACATCCATCACAGTTATACTCATTTCTTAATAGTTTTGAAATGTACCAGTGCATCATGCACATTCGGTGAGGTCCCCCAAATGCCCTCCCTCCTCTCATATCCCCCTTCCCCTCTCTCTCCTCTTCCCTTCTGCTTTCTGGACTATAGTTAGGTTTTGCCATTCATATGAATGTTTAGGTGATTATATATTGATTTCATAGTAGTATTGAGTATTTTGGATACTTTTTTTTTATTCTCAAATACTTTACTAAGAATATGTTCCAGCTCCATCCAGGTAAACATAAAAGATGTAAAGACTCCTTCTTTTAATGGCTGCATAGTATTCCATGGTGTACATATACCACAGTTTGTTAATCCGTTCGTGGGTCACTGGGCACTTGGGCTGTTTCCATATCTTGGCTATTATGAATTGGGCTGCATTAAACATTCTGGTGCAAATGTCTTTGTTGTAAAATAATTTTTGATCGTCTGGGTATATACCTAGTAGAGACATTGCAGGATTGAATGGAAGGTCTACTTTTAGTTCCTTGTGTTCTCCAAATTTCTTTCCAAAAAGGTGTGTAGCTTGCATTCCCACCAGCAGTGTATAAATGTTCTCTTCTCTCTGCATCCAGGCCAACATATGTAGTTTTGGAATTTTATAATGTGGGCTAATCTTACTGGAGTTAGATAATATCTCAGAGTGGTTTTGATTTGCATTCTCTGATGATTAAGGATGATGAACATTTTTTCATGTGTTTGTAGGCCATGCGCCTGTCTTCATCAGAGAAGTTTCTGTTCAGGTCTCTTGCCCACATAGAAACGGGGTTATTTGTTCTTTTTTTATTGATTAGTTTGAGTTCTCTGTAAATTCTAGTTATCAGACCTTTGTCAGAGCATCACCTGTGAAAATCTTCGCCCATTCTGCAGGTTGTCTGTTTGCTTTACTTACTGTGCTCTTGGCTGTGCAAAAGCTTTTTATTTTGATCAGATCCCAGTAATGTATTTTTGGTGTTGCTTCAATTGCCTGGGGGTGGGGTGGGGGAGGTCCTCCTCATAAAATATTCTCCCAGGCCAATTTCTTCAAGTGTTTTCCCTGCACTTTCTCATCCTACTTCTTTATTAGTTCTTGTTGGGGACACTAATGATGTAATCTAATAAATGTAGAAAACTTTTGAAGAAAACTTTTACTTAAATTGTTAAATAAATTAATTCTTTTCAGATAAACCAAGCCAAACCAGAATGTGGACGGCAAAGCCTTGTTGAACTTCTTATTCGACCAGTACAGAGGTTACCCAGTGTTGCATTACTTTTAAATGGTACTTATCTAATCTGCTATCAGATTACTTTAGAGAATTTCTTGGAATTCTTTTTTCTAAAAAAGTTGAAATTCTTCTCATTTTCAGGTTCTTAGATTCTCAGCATTAAAGTTTATATATCTTAGCATTAAAGTTTATATATCATTAAAGTTATAAACATGGAAAACATCTTTATGGATAATGTTGAGAAATAGTTACTAGTACTACAAAAATTTGAACTGGTTGGAAATTATTTGTTCTGATATCAGTTATAGGCAGTTCCTGAGTTACAAACGAGATAGGTTCTATAGATTTTTTCTTAAGTTGAATTTGTATGTAAGTTGGAATAGGCACATTTATGTATTACCTGTAAGTCATAAGTGCAAGTCATATATGTCAGATGTTTGTGATGTGTGGATTGCCTGTGTATTGACTAGTATTCTAAGTACTTTTGTCTTTTCATTTAAGGGTCTTCCTCTATTTCATGACGTGTCAGTAATTCAGAATCAATCTATATCCAAGTGTTCACAAAAGTCACCCACAAAATCACAAGGAGAGAGCTGATTCATATGTCCCAAGTTTTTTTTAGTCCTTTCCTGCTTTTTAGTGAAGTTCTGTATATTTGGTCATCTAGTCTTTTTTATTTTCCTTGCCTTGGGTTCAGAATACCCTTGAAACATTTGTAGAGCTTTAACTTCAGATATCAGTAAAAGGGAGATTTACAACAGAGTTTTTATGAATAAATTTTGCCTGTGGTTAAAAATAATCATATGTATATTTGCATTTAGCTAATTAAAGTTGTGAGTATTTTTAAGGCACTGTTAGTTTTTGTTAGGCAAGTTTGAAAACTCAGTTGTAAGTAGGAGTAAATTTGTAATAAACCATTTTGATCCCTAACTTTAACTACAATACTATATATAGCAGATAAGGAAGCTAATTTTGTGACTGTTTAATCTGTTTTTTTTGGTAAAATACTTTGGTTAGTATATGAATTATAGTACCAACGTAAAAAATTGATATATTTGAGAATTACTAGCCTATAAGATGATTTCTCCACTCGGTAATAAAAGCTATTTCATATGTTATATGGAGAATATAGGAATAAATTTCCAAGTTTCTAAAACATTGTATTTTTTTTTTTTTTTTGCTGATTTGTATATCTTACTGTTTCATTAAGAACTTGTAGAAATCCATCAGATGTCATGATAAAATGAACTTGGCTTCTAAGTTTTATTGTTATTATTTCACATGAGCAATTAGGTTCATGTGTACTAGGTTGAGCTTTGATTTTGGTAAGAATATGCTGAGGATGGCAGAGGGATCATAATTAACAACCTGGATAGGAAGAGTGTCTGTTTAGTATGATCCTGTTAAACAACAAAACCTGTGTTTAAGGACACCAGATAACTTTCTGTCATGTAGCCATGGGCCCCCAAATGAAATATGAAACAGATAATGATTTCTGAGTTGAGGAACATGTGCTTTTATTCAGCACCATGGAGAGGGCTTAAGGAATCTCGTAGTTTCCAAGCATTACTAGAAAGGATTAGGATAACAGTGTAAGAAAATCTGTGATATGTGTTCTGAAAATTTAGTCAAAAAATGTGTAGAAACTTTAACAGATATGTAACAGGATCTTTTTAGGGAATATTGTTTAAAACTGTTCAGTTTTTTTTTGGCTCGGTGCCGGTAGCACACTGGTTACAGTGCCAACCATGTACACTGAGACTGGTGGCTTCAAACTCAGCCTGGGCCAGCTAAACAACAATGACAACTTCTATAAAACATAGCCGGACATTGTGGCGGGTGCCTGTAGTCCCAGCTACTTGGGAGGCTGAGGCAAGAGAGTCACTTGAGCCCAGGAGTTTGAGGTTGCTGTGATGCCATGGCACTCTACTGAGGGCAACATAGTGAGACTCTGTCTCAAAAAAACAAAACAAAACCGTTTAGTTTTTGTTAAGATTAGATATTATCTTTAAAAATTAATCAGTGCATATGTATTATCGAGATAACATTTTTTAAGTCTTAGAAGGGAAACTACTGAATTCTTTTTAATTATGAAAAAACCATTTTATTATTACAGATCTTAAGAAGCATACAACTGATGAAAATCCTGACAAAGGCACTTTAGAAAAAGCTATTGGATCACTAAAGGAAGTAATGACGTAAGTACATTATTTCCAATTTTGGTTTGAATTGATGAAATAATTAGATTCATAAATGGAGAGAAAAATATCAATAGCAGATTTTTGTGAAGTGTGATCTGAAGTATTTTTCTAATAGTGTGGGTATACATAAAAATGAGAAGTATTGTAAGAACACACTAATCAGTCAAAATTTATATTTCTGGAGATAATTAAGCTATTATGCATAGAGAATAATGATTTAGAAAATTAAAAATGTTACAAGTACACACAGACATTTTTCTCATGTATTTCTAGTCATAGCTTGTTTTTATTTTTCATATTGATATGAACTGCCCACATGTTAAATGAAAAGGTGTATATTTCCAGTGTAAAAGAAAAAAACAGAATGTATAATTTTTTTTTTCAATTTTAGCTTTTTGTTTGTTTGTTTTGAGACAGAGTTTCAAGTTGTTGCCCTGGGTAGAGTGCTGTGGTGTCAACTTGGGCTCAAGCAATCCTCTTGCCTCAGCTTTTCTAATTTTAGTAGAGATGGGGTCTCGCTTTTGCTCAGACTGGTCCTGAATTCATGAGCTCAAGCAATCCACCCACGTTGGCCTCCCAGAGTGCTAGGATTATAGGTGTGAGCCACTTCACCTGGCCAGTTTTAGTTTTCACTTTTTGTTTTTTACCTAGAATTTTATGGAATTAAATTGGCAATATTGGTTAGAGATGTATTAAAACTAAATCTTTTAATGAAATTGATTTGGAGAGCTTAAATATTAAATGTAGGCTGCTTACTCTATGTCTGATTTAGTGATAGGTCTGATCTGATCAGAAATAATCTTCTGTTATGATCAGAGTGAACAACTTGCCATTAACACTTTCTCTCATAGAAGGTACTTAAACTGTCTGGAATTTATGTATCAGTGCATTTAATAGATGTTATGATTTCTGAGATTTCATAAGGTGTTTCTATGTGAAAGAGTTTTCTTAAATACAAGGAGCTCTTAAGGAAAAACTTTACTAGTTTTAGATAGAGGGTCCAGTAGAGACCTCTCTCATTTAAGAGGTTAGTGCTCAAATTGGCTAATACCATTTTGTGTTGCTGCTGGAAGGGTTATATATACCCTTCTTCCTTAAAGACCATCCATCATAGGGCTATTAAGTGGCCTCATTTCAATATTGTGTCTCAGGGAATCAGGAGGCATAAGAAGAGGGAGAGAGATGGAGGAGTGGCTGTTTGTGGTGTACTCAGAGCATACACATTTAACAATTAAGTTTGATGTCTTATATGGGTGCCATTCCTTGGTCCCCACAATTATAGTGTGTGTAATGCCAAAATTCACTGATCATAGATCATTATAACAGATAGATTATAATAATAATGAAAAAGTTTGAAATGTTACAAGAATTAGCAAAATGTAACAAAGACACAAAGTGATCAGTTGGTGTTGAAAAATGGTCTAATAGACTTGCTTGACTCAATAGAAACTGTGAATTTGTAAAAAATGCAGTATCTGGGAAACTCAGTAAAGTGAAACACAATAGAATGAGGTATGCATAGCTATACCTTGTATCATTTTACTTGTAATGAAACCTGACAGTATGCTGTCTTGTCTGGTTTTCTTATTTTTAGTTTTTTGCTCTGTGACATAGAGGGTGTTTTGTCTGGCTTTTTTTTACTCAGCATAATTATTTCGAGATTATTTCTTATTGTTGCTTATTTTAATAGTTTATTTGTTTTTTATCATGTGGTTATATCATAGTTCATTCCGCCCTTTTCACATTGATGGATATTTCTTTTGAAAGTTTCCAGTTTCTGGTTATTACAAATAAAGCTTCTGTCATCATTTGTGAACAAGTCTATTTAGATAAATGATTTTATTTCTCATGAATAAACTCTTTAATAGGAGTGGTAAGGTTAGATGGTAGGTGTATTGTGCATAACCTTCTCTAAGAACCTGCCAAACTATTGTTATAATATTTTGTATTCCCACCAATGTGTGGTGTTCCAGAGTCTCGGTGTCCATATCAGCGCTCAGGATAGCCAGTCGTCGTTTAATTTGTGGCAGCTAATAGATGCATAGTGGTGTGTCATTGTAGTTTGAATTTGCATTTTTCTAATAACAAATGATGTTGAGCATCTTCTTGTGTTTTTTTGATATTGTATCTTTTTTATTGATGTCTTTGACTCTTTTTTTATATGCCTTTTCACACCTTTTGTCTATTTGTTTTAAAATTGGAGTTTTCTTATAATTGAATTTTGAGAGCTTTTTATATATTATAATTAAGGGGCTTTGTCAGATATGTGACTTATATCTGACAAATACTTTCCACTCTTCTGTGGCTTATTTTTTCTTGTTGACAGTTTCTTGCAAAAACAGGCAAAAAACTTTTAAAATCTAATTTGTTAATTTTTAAAAAATGGTTGGTACATCGGTTTATGTAAGAAATGTTGTTCTAACCTAAGTTCACAAGGACTTTTTCCTGTTTACCTCAAGAAGGTTTGTACTTCTATTTTGAGTTACTTTTTTTAAAATATGGAAATCTAGTTTAGCACTAATTATTAAAAAGAATATTTTTTCTCCCCTGAATTATTTTGTATCTTTGTTGAAAATCAGCTAACCATAAATGTAAGGGTTTATTTCTAGACTCTCAGCTCTGTATCATACATCCATGTCTATGCTTATGCCAGTACCATACTGCTTTAATTACTATACTTCCCCAGTCTGTAATTGAGAAATGCCTTCCAACTTTGTTCTTCCTTGTCATAATTGTTTTGGATATTTTGGGGTCCTTAGATTTGCGTATGGTTTTTAGGATTATCAGTTTCTAAAAACAACAACAGCAAAAATTGCATCATTTGAGCAGGAATTTTATTAAATCTGTAGATTCAATAAGATATTTCTTGCAATATCTTAGCAATATTTAATCTTCTGATCTGGGAACATTTATTTTCTTTAGTTCTCTAATATCAACTATATTTGTGGTTTTTAGTTTATAAGTGTTGGTGGGGTTTGTCTAACTTTTTCTTAAAGATTCTTTTTGATGCAATTGTAAATGGGTTTACTTTCTTAATTTCATGTTTTGATTGATTATTGCTCATGTATGGAAATACAATAGCATTTTATATATTGATCTTGTACCTAGCATTCTTCCTGAACTTTTTTATTCTAATACTTTATAAGTGAATTCCTTATGATTTTCTATAAATAAGATTGTTGTATCATCTGCAAGCAGAGGCAGTTATACTTTTTCCTTTCAAAGCTAGATGCCTTTTATTTTCTCATCTAATTGCCCTGGCTAGAAGCAATGTTAAGCAGAGTGATGAGAGTGGACATTTGTCTTATTCCTGATTTCAAAGGGAAAGCTATCAGTCTTTCACCACTATGTATAGTTTTTGTAGGTTACCTTTATCAAATTGAAGAAGTCCCAACTTCTAGTTTGTTTTATGTTTTAATTATGAAAAAAAATCATTTGGGCCCAGCTGTGTTATAAACTGGTGAGTTTCTATGTTTTACTATCTTGTGACTAAAATTCTAATAAAAGCTATTAGAGCTTTGTGTGTGTTTATGTTGAGATGTGATTGTAGATCCGTGTATGTATTATGCTATCTGCTGTGTCTACAGAAATCTGGCATAGGTGATCAGAAGTCCTGTAAGAAACTTTATTCTATCCCATTTAGTTTAAACAAATATAAAATATACTAACTCCAATTTAAAATGCAAATTTTTGAGAAATCAATTAGTTTTAAAATTATTGCTAAAATAAAATGTCTTAAATTTTTAGTTAAGGTAGTCTTTGCTAGAAGTCTTGGTCATGAAGCTATAAATACAAACTAAAACAAATGATCTGTGTACAATTCTTTGATAAGTGAGGATAGTTTAGTATTATTGATTTAGTCAAACAGCTGATCTCTTCAGAGTTACTTACAACACACCTATGTATTTAACTTTAAGATTCTTAGGAAAAACACTTGATATTAACAGTCTCTAATATTGATTAATAAGAAAATAGTGACTAGCTCTGTCTAATATGTCAGTTTCATTAGTAATTTAGATATGATTGTTAAAGAATAAATTAGGCAATTATAAATGGGATAAGCATTTATAAATAGACATTTTATATAATTTAAAATCTTAAAGTTATGTCATATTAAATGTCTGTGTTATATCTAAATAAGATGAAAACCTGAAACACATTGCTGAATAAATAGTTTGTTCTTGGCTTTTCATTTGTTTTATTTATTTATTTATTATACAATCTCACTCAGTTGCCCAGGCTAGAGTGCTGTGGCATCAACCTAGCTCATAGCAATTGCAAACTCCTAGGTTCAAGCAATCTTCTTGCCTCAGCTGCCCACGTACCTGTAACTATAGACGCCTGGCTAATTTTACTATTTTTTTCTAGTAGAGATGGGGATCTTACTCTTGTTCAAGCTGGTCTTGAACTTCTAAGTGTAAGGAATTCTCCCACGTCAGCCTTCCAGAGTGCTAGGATTATAGGCGTGAGCCACTGTGTTTGGCTTCTTACATTTTATAAAAAAATATATAGATTTGTTAATATATCTAAATTAGGAAAAGATAAATGTTTTCTATTATAAATAATTTTGTCTAATTTAGAGTTTATTCAAAAGCTATTTTAAAATAAAAATTTACAAAGAAATTAAATTCAAGAAAATCACCTAGTAAGTAGGAGAGAAAGATGTCAAGTTATGGATATAAAGATGTATTTTTGGTTAAAAAGTTACAAAGGTAATTCCATTAAAAAGATACTCTTAGTGATGGATTTTTGTCCTAATGTAAAATGATTGGTTGTTATAATGTTAAAAAAAAATTGTAGGGCTAAGACTGAGTGTTTAAGAAAATGATGAAAAGTGTAAATAGGTCAAAGAGGATTTATGAAGGCTTAGTTTTATAAAGGAAGATATCTGTGTTCAGGTTGTCTGGAATTGGAAAGCAATTGTAAGTTTTTCTAATAATTAAACGTTGGCGTTAGGGATTCCCCGATGATATAGGACCAAAGGTCTCTGTTGTTTA